AATCTCATCTTTTTTAGAAGCGTATATTAAATCGAGGTTCTTGATGGATCCAAACGACTTATCGCCAAGTCCATTAAGAAAGCAGAGTAACGTAAGAAGGGATGTAAAAGACCCTTTTATTAAGAATTCGAATAGTTTAACAAAAGGCACTTTCTGTGCTTACAAAACCAGCCAGCATTTATTGCGTAACTCAAAAGTAATGAATTTCAAATTAAAACTACGTTAAATTGTAAGTTAACGAAAGGTTACACAGAAATAAGTAAAGTGCAAGATGGCTCAAACCTATACAAAGCATTGTTGGCAAGAGTAAAAATATACGCGAATAGACAGCTATTGAAGAATTTTAACAGCCTATGTGCCTTCAGGAGGAAGTACATGCTCTGATTAATCCAAAATCTTCCTTTATATACTGTTTCTTACTACCCCATTTGAATACTCGAGAGCTAAAATTAGCATTCTGACAGAAAAACGGAAGGGGAGAATGAGAGTAATACTACTGAATATAAAATACATGGTTAGATAAAAATAAATAAATCCTTAAAGCCAAAATAAATCATACAAGAAAAGAATTGAAATAATTTTCTTGGTAGGATTAAACTAAAATCGCGATGAGAATTGGTAAAAAAGAGAATTTGGTGCAAAATTCAACAGCAAAGTTTTTCATGCTATCAAAATCAGGTGCTGTAAAAGAATAACAACCTCTACAATTAATGATGTTATGAGCTGGCAAGAATTCCATCAACATGCAAATTAATTGTATTGGGTATTATAAAAAGCCTCCGCGGTTTTTTGCAACTAGATGGTGTTGATGCCTATATATCCGGCAACACTCACCCAATTGTCTCAAACGAACATGTTCTTAAAAAGATGACTTTCAGCTTCTAGGTTTGTGAAGCTAGTTTTCTGATTCGTTGCTCGCGTAAAAAGTTATATTGATTGGAAAATGAGTAAAATATCTGAAGAAATACGACGCGTGATGCTTTTTTTTACTATAAAACACGTATAAACGCTGCAAAAACATGCCGAAAAGTTTGTAAAGTGTGCGGTGAAAATGCTATGAGTGAACGAAGGACCCAGGAGTGGTCTGTTCAATTCCGTTCCGGAAATTTCGGTGTCAAAGATGCACTTCGCTCTGGTCGGCCAATCGCTGAAAACGTCGATGAAATTTTGAAACTGGTGGAGCAAGACCGGCGCGCAAGCTAACAGGAAATAGCGGATGCCCTAAAACATCAATCGCATGACAGTTTAGAATCAATTGAAAAGAGTAGGCTACAAAAAGAAGCTCCATGTTTGGGTGCAACATCATTTAAACGCAAAAAAATTTAATTGACCGAATTATCATCCCAGAAATGTTGCTGAAACGCAACGAAATAGAACCATTTTTAAAGTCGCGCAATCCAGAAAGAGCGATCAGAATTGGCCAATAGAAAGGGAGTTGAATTTATGGTGGCATGGTGGTTATGTACTTGATATATATCCTTGAATTGACATGACTCCATTTACTTAAACATAACCTTTATTCACACCAACATAGCTTTAGACACAACTGAAATAACATGACGAAATAACAAAACCACTAAACTAAAATTCAAAACATCCTATGCTGCAGCTAAGGGAGAAGTGAGTGAGTTCACTACCGCGCTAGCAGTTTTTACATAAACCACATGGCGTGGATTGGCTGCACACGCAGTCGAACATTTGATGGCCGCAGAGTATCCCCCCAGTGACACAGTCACGACACAAAAGGAGTTGGCTGTAAATTTCCAATTTAAGATATGCACATTCAAATAACAGTTATACTTTAAAATTGTACGTACAAAAAGAAATACAAATATATGAATAGTAAAATACATACATTACACATTCTGATTGGAATAATACCATACAATGCATAACTTAGTTAAACAGAAATAATGATTTGATGAATGAAGTTAATATGCATTTTATATAACTCAATACGTATGCAAAAAAAAAAAAAAATTCCAAGTATCTATACATTGTAACATTTGCAGCTAACCACAAGAGAAAACTTTAATCATATTACAGTAATTAGTGTTTTTGGAAAATGAACACGACGTTCACTTCGGGTAACTACTTGTTTTGGAACAATTTTTGAGTCTTCGCAGACTTTCTGTGGAAACTGAGGAATTACAGGTGAATTTATACATTCTGACAACTATATGATGGTTTTAAAACGATCGATGTAACTGTAATCTTTTGGTTATTTACCTCAATAATAAAATTTTTTATCCATTCGTTTAACCACGGTAAGGGACCAGTATAAGGTGGAGTTAGAGGTGGTTTAACAGAATCGATACTCAGAAATACATGAGAAACAGGTTTGAAGTGCTGGATGTACATAAATTGGTGATTGAATATGCCTAGAGGTTAGGAATAGGTCTAACTAAATGCATGACTGATCGAAGTTGTGACACATAAGATTCAGTAGGCGATACAATATTTGTAGCATTCAGCATATCTGACGGTAATCTAACAGTGTAGTACCGTAGACAAGTTCAGCGCAAGTAGCAACCATTTATATTTTATCTTTAATGGCTTAATGCCAGATCTAATACCCAACAGAACAATAGGCAGAATTTCAGTCCATTTTAGAGTTGTTATGAGCCATTATTGAACTTTTAAGTTTCCTATGAAATCTCTTCAATCAGTCCATTGGACTCAGGATGATAAGCAGTAGTTCTAATGCGATGTGTACCCAAAATTTTCGTTAAATCCTTAAATAAGTGAGATTCAAAATTTCGGCCTAGATCAGTTGTTATTGATACCGGGTGGCCAAATCTTGCTATCCAGTTATGCACTAACACTTTGCAAGTCGTCTGAGCTGACACTTCGGCAGTAGGTATGACTTCCGACCATCTGGTAAACCTGTCAATAATTGTCATGCAATAGCGGTTACCTTCAGACGGTGGAAGAGAACCTATGAAATCGATATGGATGTGTGCAAAATCTTACATCAGGCAAGGAAAAGGTACCCAACGGTGATTTCGTATGTCTATGAATTTTAGAACGTTGGCACTGTAGACATGATTGAACTGCAGTTTTAATAAATTTCTTCTTATTCGGCTGAAAATAGCACTTAGTAACCTAATTTTGTTGAAGTTGAAATACCAGCATGAGAAAGACAGTGAATCTTCTGAAGTATTTTAGAGCGAAAAGATTCAGGTATGAACGGTCGACGTATACCGGGATTTTGGTCAGTGTAGATTGTAAAAACCCTGCCTTCAAGGATGTGCCGAAACTTCGTAATAGACAAAAAAATTGCCAATAGTTCTCGATCATAAGTTGACCATTTCCTTTCACTTTTGCTGAGTTTAACGGATAGAAATGCAATGGGTTCCCAAACTGAATTATGCAGTTGCATTAATGAGCTACCAACCGCAACGTCCGATGCATCAGTACAAAGTTTCAAAGTCGCACCGGGAATTGGGTGTTTGAGAAGGGTTGCCTCAGCAATTGCCTTTTTTTGCATTTTCGAATGCTTTCTCGGCTTCGTCGTCCCATTCGAGAGAATATTCTTTTGTTTTGCTTGGTTGTGAAGGTTTCCTTTTATTAATGCGGCCTTCCAGTAACCTATTCAAGTTAACTAAACCATGCGAAGCTCTTGGGACAAAACGTCTGTAAAAATTAAATATGCCAAGAAATTTCCATAACTGAGTTAATGTGTTTGGTTTAGGAAGTTTTTGAATAGCTTCTATCCTCTCGGGTAAAGGTTTTAAACCCTGTTCAGATAGATGAAAACCCAAAAATTCCAAAGAAGTTAAACCAAAACTGCATTTAGATACATTAAGTCTTAACCCATAATTACTTAATCTTCCAAAAAGGGCTTTTAAGTGTATCAAATGCTCATTTTCGTCTTTTGACGCTATCAATATAGCGTCGACAAAAGCAAATACTCCTGGCAGCTCGCGAGTTACTTCATCAATAAAGCGTTGAAAGGTTGCAGCTGCATTGCATAACCCAAATTGCATTCTTATGCTCTCAAAAAGTCCAAAAGGAGTGGCAATAGTCGTTTTATAGATATCAGAGGGATAAATTGGAATTTGGGGATATGCTTTAACCAAATCTAATCGAGAAAATACCTTTGTTCCATGTAACTATAAGCTGCAAAATCGCAAATATTGGGAATAGGATACTTATCCTTCACTGTCTTAGCGTTTAACCTCCCAAAATCTCCCTCAGGTCTCAATTCGTTTGTGCCCTTTTTTGACACCAATGTGAAGAGGAAGAGGAGTAATTACTTTTGGAAGGGTCGCATGTGACCTAAATTGATCATTTTCTGAATTTCATGCTTAGCAATTTTTAATCTATCTGGAGCTAATCTCCTTGGCTTACGTGAAACAGGAGGACCAATGGTTTCAATGAAATGCATAGTATTATGCTTAACAGTCTCATTGAGATCAGGAAGCTTTGACAGTGAAGGATAGTTAGACAGTAATTTATCATTAATACAATTTGAAATAATTGTACATTAGATAAATAATAATAATAAACATTAGATTAAATAATAAACATTAGATTGCCACAAATTCCATCATGACAATGCACGACCGCACACATCTTTGATGACTCGTAACAAATTGGCGGAACTTGGTTGCGAAGTTTTGATGCATCCACCGTATAGCCCGGACATTACCCCATCTGACTACCATTTGTTTCGGTCTCTGCAAAACTCTCTTGATGGTAAAAACTTGGCCGATCGAAGCACGGTGAAAATCGGTTGGCCAAGTTTTTCGAAAATAAAACACAGAAGTTCTACCCCGATGGAATTATGAAGCTGCTCGAAAAATGAAAAAAAAAGTCATAGATAATAATGGTCAATATCTTCTTGATTAAAACTGATTTTCAATAAAGAAAATTTTTGTTCAAGTGTGTACCAAAAAACGCGGACACTTTTTATATGGCCCAATAATTAAGACTGTACTGGAATGTTACGTCTGTCATAATTCAGGCAAGACTCATAATTTAGCAAAATGTCTTACCGCCTTCTACAGTAGGTGCAGTCACGACGACTCCAGACTCAGTTACAGCTGCCCACTGGAGATAGAAGCTAGCGTCGTAGTAGTGGTACGCCTCGAGTCGAATAAAAAGAACATTGCTGGTGCTGACTAGAGGCTCTGGAATATTATATCCACAGAATTCTCCAAGTACAGGAGCTGAGTCGTCGAAGCCATCATAAATCTGGATTTTAGGAAGATATTACTTTTAATTTGTTATCATGCAATAATGAAGCTGCTTCATTACAATTTATTACACAGTATAAACATTATTTCCATTACCAACATGGAAACATTCATGCCTGCATTTTAATACCAGAAATGTTGCATCGAAATCAAATAAAGAGAATACTGATTTATGTATATATTTTATAATACTTGAAAACGAACTTAGATTAATAAATGTTTTTAAAGATAACGGTCTAATGTCCTCCTAATCAGCAATGGCCAACTGAGTACTCGTAATTCTGAATATAGTTTATTTGTACCGTTCAAGGATTTCTGACTGCATGCATGTTTTTGTGATAACAGCAGTCAGATCTCTTTTATTTCGCTCACTAAAAGAGCATATTTTGTTAAAAATAGCTGAGCTGTTATGAAGGTCTAAATTGTAAACATTGTATTTTATGTAAATATCTTCTATTTACTTAGTTTTTAGGTAATAATGTGAAGTTTAATTTAACGTATTAAGAAACTTAAATTGAAAGTGATCAAACCTCCAACGTTGTTCATTTACTTTCATAGTAAGATTTTACTTCCTTGCACGAAGTAAAGGAAGTATCGTAATCACTTAAAATTCCGGGTTTCATATTACAACGAAAATATTAATTTTGACCGTTATCGAATGCAATTTAACAATGTTCTTGCTTGATATCTCTACGTAAGGACAGAATAAAGAACTCTTTTTTTCCCAAATGAATTATAAAACTGACTTAAAATGTATTCAGAAGTGATTTTTTTTTCCGTGGCGTCTGTACGTAGGTATTTACGTATGTACGTACGTCTGTATGTATATATCTCGCATAACTCAAAAACCAGTATTCTCAGAATGTTGAAATTTAGTATATATGACTGTCATAACATGTAGTTGTGAAACCCCTTTTTGGTTCCAATCGGCAGCACCAAAAGTATATAACTGTATATGTATACATATATATATAACAAGCAAGGTAGTTAGTACAATACTGTATGACCAATTTGGTCTAGATAACAGTTTGCGCAATATGCTGCAAAGTAAGTAAAATTAGAAATAGTAGTAAGCTCGCCTAAAATTTACCAGGAGCTGTGGCTCCAAAAAGTTCAACACGTTTTTAAAAAACAATGTCATTGAAGGGTGAGAAAATTGCTACACGAGAAAGGAAAAAAAATATAGTAAAATACTCAGTTTGGAAACTAGTAATGGCAAAAATACAGTAAAATACCTGAATGTGCCATTTGAAAAAATTAATACATATGAAAATCAACCAAGTAACAAGTAAAACATAAAAACAAACAAAAATCAGATAAATAGAAAGCGGAAAATGGTAAATAGCTGAACTCGACTTCCAAACTGGCTTTTCAAGGGAAATATCTGATTTGAACGTCGAATCAAGCTAGCTCCATTACGCGTTTCGCCGAAACAGACAATTGAAACTTTTTCGCAGCATATTGCGCAAAATGTTATCTAGACCAAATCGGTCATACAGTATTGTACTAACTACCTTGCTTGTTATATACACACATATATATATACCGACTCGGTTACTCGGCTCATTGAGCTCAGAATTTTTATTCTTATATGTTGGTAAATTGTGCATTTTTAGCTTAATAAATGATTGAATTATGTTGTTCTTATCTTCCTATTAAGGGTTTTATGTCTTTAGTTAATCTGCATGTAATAGTTGTAGACATATCGGCAATTTAAAAGTTGTTTATGTGCGATTAAGCTTACTTTTTTACCTTAGCAGCCATATTTGTTTACTTTTGAAACTTACCAGAATAGTGAATTATGTCTTTCTGCTTAAGCTGCTAGATTTAAGTTAGGGAAATTTTTACCGCGAATGAGCAAGGTGCTCGCGAGCTGTAAGGAGCGATATATTACACTAATTTTATGCTTTAATGTTATTTTAATAAATATTCTGTTTTGTTTAGTCAAATGGTGACTTTCTAATTGCGAAGTCATCGCATTCTGTTCCTACATAAAAATAATGTTCATAAAAGCCGTCAACAATAAATAAAACGACGTCAACCTCCAATGGACCCCATCACATGTTAATATTAGTGGTAATGAGGTCGCTGATAGACTGGCAAAAGAGGGTAGTGAAAATGAAACGGTCACTGGCACTTCGCTTACTTACCAAGAACTTTACTGAAATGAAAGATCTAAATATAATATGGCGTATTCCACCTACGCATCAATGGTATGCAGGAACATCCCCTGGCTCCTTACTGGAAATCAAATGTGACCATGGCTCCCAGACTGCTTTGGCTAGACTAACAAGCGGCCACTTTAAATGTCTTTCTTTTGACAGTGGCAGAAAAATCCACCTCGCTTGTAAAGCTGTGACCATCCAGCTTCACCGGATCACATACTGGGTTGTATCGGACTTTCTAAGGGGGACTTAACATCCGATCCCCTCACTGTTATTGATTTTTTGGCAGTCAACAGCCTTCTGGAGCTGATCTGATATATGTGAAATCTTTCGAGGATAAACAACAACACACAATAAAGATTACAAGTCAAATAAATCTCATACTCACTCTTAAGGTAGATCTACATGAATGGGATTCACCCAGGTCTACAATGCCAAAATCTATGAAGCGTACACTAACGAACATTCCGGTTGGTACGATTACAGTCCATTCCACATTCGAACGAGAGTATTTGTGCGGATAACCTGGAGACGCAATCTCTCCTTCTGTTCCATTCAGTACATTGCTATGCTCTAGAATAAAACAGAAACACATATAGCACTCTTTCCTTGCCTTCTAAAACTTTAAATAGGTTATTAGAAGAAAGTAGTTGCAGGGCTTACGTTTTAAAATTTTGATACAAAACATGGATATCAAGTTACATAGTTTCTTAAAATAAAATTCAGAATTTTATACAAACATTTTCAACATACCTTTGGCTGAAGAACTTCTTAAAAAACCAAAAAATCTAAGTATTTTATAGTTAGTTAAGAAGACAAAAATAATGGGTTATTCGGTAAATAATTTAGTTTTTTTCCAACAGAGGGTTTAATTCTATTTCTTTTGATGGAATATCGAAACACACTTTATTTACCAGTATTAATCAGGACATCTGCAAAACACTTTTACAGTCATCGAAGATCTACTATAAACACGCTGGAACAATCAGCGACATAGCCTTCACTGTCAGGCAATAAACGGTGGAACCTTCACTGCAAAGCACCAGAGTACAGCTCCCGATCTGCTTGGCGTTCTCGGAACTCACGTACTCTCGAGAGACTTTTCACCTACACTCGCGATCACTTCGACACACAGGCACAGCCCCGCTCTTCGGTTCAGTCGTTTCCGGAGCTTAACACACGAGTCGACGACAGCATACGCGACACACTACACGACGACCACTCGGCACTTGCTGCCCGGCGGTCAACTCGATCGACTCCGCACGGACTGACTAACCCGAGACTATCTCGCACTCGCACTGACTATCAGCTCGCTAGACGAGGCACACTCACTCGACGTACCAGTAGGGTATATAGCTTTCGGCTTGTGTTCGAGCACATTCTGTGCTAAACCGGTAAGAAATCATTCCAGAAGGTCGTCCATCCGTCCATGGTATATCGCCTATTTGGTCGCCAAATGGGCGATTTTTCGCCAAATGTAGCAAACTTACCTTCTTTTGCCATTTTATGGCAACCCTAAACCAGCTTTGCGAGGAAGCTATCTTACCGCGCCTGGACACTTCGTAACAATTAGTTAAAGTTTGGTTTAGATACTTGTCACTTAGGCATCTTCTCTCACTTACAGTTGAGATTAAATTATATGTGAAACTTCCTTTAGAATCTGGGTCGTTCCACTTTGCTTTCCATAGAGTCAAACATTTTGTTTTCAATAAGAATTTCAAACTGTTAAAGGAAATCTTTACTTCAAAATCAATAATTTGATTTTTAGTGGCAGCCTTTACCAATCTATTTGCTAACTCGTTACCAATGGTACCAATATGACTCTTCGTCTAAAAGAGTTTAATATCTCTGAAAGAGCTAAGAAAAATGATCATATCTTTTATTTGTTTAATTAGATCGTTACTTGGATAAACATCCGTAATTGAAACAATTGCGCTTTCGCAGTCACTGTAGATTTCAACAGGATCTAGAGCAGAATTAGAAATAAGACAATATAAGGCCTCTCGCAGGGCCACTGACTCTGCCTGATAAACAGGTATCGTGAGATTTCCTTTGTAAGCTTAGCTTCTCATGTGAGAACACACAAAAGGCTGCTCCCACATGACCATTTAATTTAGATCCATCTGTAAAAACCGTGTAGCCTGTCATGTTGGGGAGGCCTTTATGCCAACAGTCATTATATATTTTCACAGCTGATACAGCAAAGCTTATTTGTGAAAAAGTTCGATTGATTCTATGCAGTAGGTTTTGGTTGGTGCCCTTTGAAATAGGGAAAGTGAAAAGCAGCATTTTCGGCATATTTTACTTTTTTACATTCGAAACGGTAAAAATGCTGTTCAAACAAGAAACACATTATTCGTTGTATATGGAGAAGTGGTATTGACAAAACCCCAGTGTCAAAACTGGTTTTCAAATTTTCGATCCGACAATTTTCATCTTGAAGTTGGAGAGTTGATGGACAGCTTAAAAACACAAGGCACCCATATGTCGAGCTTAGGAGTTTCAAATGACCATGAACGGTCAAAATCGATAAATTTAATCTCTTAACGATCTCACGATTTGTTATTCGCCGGTTTGCGTCGATTAATGCCTTTATTGTGTCTGCATCGGCTTCAACTGTCCTTCCAGAACGTGGTGGACCTTCAAGATATAAATCACTAGAATGAAATTTTGCAAACCAGTTTTGGCATTGGCATTCTGTCATACACATCGGATTCTCCATACACATCGGATAATTTTTTTCTTTCTTGAACAGAATTTTAAACTTTTTGATAGTAAAAACGTAAAATATGCCGAAAATGTTGTTTTTCACTCTCCGTGTTTGAAAGGGCACTAATCAAAAACTACTGCGTAGAATAAATTGCACTTTTTCACAAACAAGTTGCGCTATATCAGCTGCCAAAATAAAGCCCTCTGCTGGGAAAAAGCGAAATTACTTTTCGAACAAATCAATAAAATATCTCAGATCCTTACTTATAAGAGTCAAAAGCACATGCTTAGTAAAATATTTTACAGGTTAAAAAGAGATCAACTATAAATTTAATGAAACCTTAGCCGGTTGTATCGGCACAGATGCATAACTATCAAATAACAAGCTTTGTCTTGGTATCAAATTGGTTTCCATAAGTTTCAAATTTCAATCATTAAAAGATGTTGGAAAAATGATTTAAATGAAGTTTGTTCTCGAATAACTCATTGGCTAGGTTAAGTTAAGCTAGGTTATTTGAATATGGCAAAGCACACGAGGACTATCTGTCTAAAGGAAATGATGTCTTCGTAAAGGAATTCTAAGGAAAACTGGCTTTCATTCACGCTAAACGCAGGAAATTTTACTACACGAAACACAAAAACCAACCACACAGCGAACCTGTGAGCCTGGGATCAATCCTGGATCGAATTCCCAGAATTTAACGGTATGAAGCATTCAGCCACTGTTGGGTTTTGTTAATTCAGTGAATTTTATGCGTAAAAGTAAGGAAAATACTTGCTTTAAAGCTGCTCAAACGGGATAAACTACAGTACCGAAATTCATGGGTTCGAGTCACGGAGATGCAGAGAAGTCCCGGAGAAGACATCTCGTGTGGTTTGATAGTAGGAAAGAGAGGTGGGATCTCACCCCCGGGAAGGTATCTCGGAAAATTGGGGTGAAACTGGGTAAAATTGTATTTTTACCTATATGATGTCCAAGGCACTTGCCAACAACAGATGTAATCTTGTACTCCTTGCCACGAGAAATTTGGAGTGGTTCTGATGATGAGGTCAAACAGGTGAGGTTAGTCCTAACATACACATACACTGTTTTAAAGGAATTGAAGGGTGTTAAATGTTTTACTACCGAGCCTTTTGACCACAAAGACAGGTCAATTTTTTTCTTTTAACAAGCCGCACCTCGCTCATAGTAACGACAACATAATTTTTACAAAATTTTACACTTTACTCCTACAATGTAACTGGTTGTCTACATCTACAGTCAGCATTCAAGTACACCCTGCACATAAAAAATGGAACAGTTCTATAGCTCACATTATACTGGACCAATAGTCGAAATTTAACTTGAGTTTCCCGTGTCTCGAGAGCACGACTTAGGATATATATTAGATTTATATATACCATTGTTCTAACATAAGACACAAATTCCAACTTTTCTGAAATAATGTACCAATTTTTTTTCCATAATTCGATTCTACGACTCAAATTATGCCTAGATATTGAATTGTGTAATTTTTGGTTAGAAATTTATGGAGAAATTTAAAAATTTATCTTGAAGCATTTTTTTTCAGTTTATGCCAAGACTTCTTGAAAGCTTCTTAATTTATAGCAATCTGTTTTCCTCTCTTTTTTTTTTTTTTTTTATTGGACACGAGCAGAAGAAAAGGTCTTCTTTCATATTTTCAAATAAGTTTAACCTTATTTGGCGTTATTGTCGCTTATAACTAATATGTTGCATTTCAAAACGCGCTAATATGTAAATTCACGTATACCTTAAGACATTTTGAATAAACATCTCTAACTGTTTGCAGATATGCTTAGAAATACATCTAATTTATGATGATGGTAAAAACTTTATAGGTCATAATTCAAATTTTTTACCTAAAAATTTATCAGATTTATTTTAAAATGCAAATTTTAATAAATCATAAAAAATAGGTGAATTTTATTTGGAATGAACTAAATTTTGAAATGTGAAAGGAAGAATTAAATAATTTTAACAAAAAAAGAGATTATAATAAATATATATCAAATTGCCGGTATGCTTAGAAATATATCTACTGTAATATGATAGCAAAACGTTATAGTTCATATTTCAACTTTTTTTTCGAAAAATTTATCAGATTTATTTAAAAATGCAAATTTTAATAAATCATAAAAAAGGTGAATTTTATTTGGAATGAACTTAAATTTTGAAATGTGAAAGGAAAAATTAAATAATTTTAATAAAAAAAGAGATAATAATAAATATATATTAAATTGCCGGTATGCTTAGAAATATATCTACTGTAATATGATAGCAAAACGTTATAGTTCATATTTCAACTTTTTTTTCGAAAAATTTATCAGATTTATTTAAAAATGCAAATTTTAATAAATCACATAAAAAAGGTGAATTTTATTTGGAATGAACTTAAATTTTGAAATGTGAAAGGAAGAATTAAATAATTTTAATAAAAAAAGAGATAATAATAAATATATATCAAATTGTCGGTATGCTTAGAAATACATCTCTGTCATATGATAGCAAAACGTTTGTAGTTCATAATTCAACTTTTTTTTCGAAAAATTTATTAGATTTGTTTAAAAATGCAAATTTTAATAAATCATAAAAAAAGGTGAATTTTATTTGGAATGAACTTAAATTTTGAAATGTGAAAGGAAGAATTAAATAATTTTAATAAAAAAAGAGATAATAATAAAGATATATTAAATTGCCGGTATGCTTAGAAATATATCTACTGTAATATGATAGCAAAACGTTATAGTTCATAATTCAACTTTTTTTTCGAAAAATTTATTAGATTTGTTTAAAAATGCAAATTTTAATAAGTCATGAAAAATAGGTGAATTTTATTTGGAAT